TTTAAACCTTATATATTTAAATATTCTTTGTATGTTTGAAATATTTCATAAAGTTCTAAAATGTCTTGAATTGAAAGCCTTTATGTGATACATGCACTCCCTAGTTCACTTCAGTTGTGGTCCTCTTCCTATTGTCTTAACAAGGTCTCCTTCTGAACCTAGCCCTGAAGTAATTCAAGTGGGCAAACATCACCCTCCATACTGTCACCTCACTATTCCCAGATCTATGACCACATTCTCACCAGAACTACCCACAGCCTTCTACTTTTCTCTCATTATTGGTTCTTTTTCATGGCTTCTTCTACAACCTTGGAAAGAATCATTTTCAACTCTTTCTATATCTGATCTCCCTTTTATCCTATAAAAATCCATATTTGTCCTTACTTCCAATACAATTCCAAAATGAAGATTTACTAGCCTAAAATTAAGTACATGAGTCCCCAAGAATTGTTTGTTGAACGTCTCTGGATCTAAACCATCTACGACCCTAGGTTTTGGAATTGGCTATATGGGAAAAGAAACAGGCAGGGGTATGACAGTCAATTAAAACAAAAATCCCAATAGACAAAGGAACTCCACTCTATACAGAAATAACAAAGATAATCTGTCTATAGTCATAATAAAATTTCTGCAGGCGGGAAAAAGTACACTTTTGGTAGACAAAGAGGTCATTCTCTTTTAAAAAGAACTTTATTAATGTACGTTTGTATATCTACTTATTTAACATGAATCCTTTCTTTAGAATTAAGTGGTAGGCCAGGCTTGGTGGCTCACGCCTGTAATCCTAGCACTCTGGGAGGCCAAGGCGGGAGGATAGCTTGAGCTCAGGAGTTCGAGACAAGCCTGAGCAAGAGCGAGACCCTGTCTCTACTAAAAATAGAAAAAATTAGCCAGGTGTGGTGGTGCGTGCCTGTAGTCCCAGCTATTTGGGAGGCTGAGGTAGGACAATCGCTTGAGCTCAGGAGTTTGAGGTTGCTGTGAGCTGGGCTGACACCACGGCACTCTAGCCCGGGCAACAGAGTGAGACTCTGTCTCGGGAAAAAAAAAAAAAAAGTAAGTGTTATAGCTGAGTAAACTATTCATTTTCATAAAAAGAACTCATCGTGCTCTTACATGCTGTTAAACTCTTAAATTGAAAAAACCACAAGGTAAATGTTTAACTATTAGATATACTAACCAAATGAACAGTGAGAGAGTAAGATATTGGTTTTGATAAATAAGAACAAAAGGTCATTTACTCAATACAAACCCATTAATGTGTTCCTCTCCACCACAGCAGCGGACTTATCTCCATGACCGCATGCAACTTGCTGAATTAAGTGGGCAGACAGGGATGACGGCAGAGCATCCTGCCAGATTAAGAAGTTCAGCAGGTAGGAAGCTGTTACACAGTCGTGTGGTTTGGTGCTTGTGCTAAGCTCCAGTGCTGCCTGGAATAAGCTCTGCAGTTTTTCTGAATCCTGGAATAAAGCACAGACTCAGCTTCTGAAAGATTTCTTTAATTTGAAGAAATAATAATTATTTTACTTTGTAGAGTTTTTTTGATTTTGTTTTTTTTTTTTTCCTGAGACAGGATCTTGTTCTGTTGCCCAGGCTAGAGTGCAGTGGCATCATCATAGCTCATTACAACATCAAACTCCTCAAGCGATCCTCCTGCCTCCGCCTCTTGAGTAGCTGGGACTATAAGGTCCATGCCCCACCATGCCCAGCTAATTTTAGTATTTTCTGTAGAGACAAGGTCACCATGTTGCTCAGGCTGGTTGCAAACTCCTGGTCTCAAGCGATCCTCCTCCCTCGGCCTCCCAAAGTACTATGATTGCAAGCATGAGCCACTGCCCCTAGCCGATAATAAATATTTTAAAACACAGCCTGCCATATAACTATAACTCAATAGGAACATTAATCTCCTTTCAACTTAAATATAGGTTAGTTTTTTTATTATATTAATTAATGATTACTATCAATCAGTTCAGAGATGAAGAACTTGAAAATAATTTCAATTGGGAAATTCAACATTGATAAATCTTTTTTTAAGGTGCCTTTCTTCAGCAAAAGTATATTTTGTTCTGTAGTAATTTTGTGATGACTACAGACAATCTTCATTATTTCTATACAGACCTAAATAAATAATGCTAATGTAAACATTATCACATAGAGAGCACCTATGTATTCGCAAAATATTTGCCAGGAATGAAGCATAGCTATGTATATATGATATAAGGCTACATGTGATGAATGGTAAGTGGTGGGAGGGTAGATAAAGGAAGAGAAAGTCTCTTCTGTAAAACCTCTATATGGCACATAAGTTAGCAGCCTAAGCAGCTACCAGGGCACCTGAAAGACCACAGGCATAGGCAGATGCCAGAGAGCAATTCTCAATCTGGACCCAAGTCATAAAAGATGCTCTGAGATCTTACAAAGCCACCTACAAGCCATAGAAACAGACACTGCTCTCTGGTATGTGCTCCTATAGAATCCCACTGTATCTACAAGCTGTCATGCCCTAAATACAGCCTAACAGCCAGAGCTCAGACTATGGCTCAGCTATAGCAGGTGCCCTTGGCTTTTGTAGAGGTCCAACAGAAAGCCAAAGCCAAGCTCCAGAGCCAGTACTCTGCTGGTGAGCCAACAGCCCCAGAAGCCTCAAGGGCCGAGCTGAGAGCCTGGGCCTAGAAGTCCCCTACAGACCCATCCCCACACTATGCCTTCACTCCCAAGCCCATCTTTGGTTCCTGCCCCAAGCTGGGAAGTGCAATGTGTTAAGAAGAAAGCGGGGGCTGGGGATGGGGTAGAGCACCAAGGGACTGTTGTTAACCTCAAGTTCTCTGAGTTTCAGTCTCAGTTTAGCTATTGCTAGTTGGAAAACCAGAAACATGTTCTGTACCTCATGTACACTCAGCTTCCCAGTCTACGAAGCAAGGAGATTATCTTGAAAAACGCAAGTTACTGTAAGTGATAGGCTTTGATAGAATATTACATGCCCGAGGGAACTGGGGTGACCACAATTAACTGAAATCTACCAATAATCTTGTAAATAACAAAACCTATAGCCTCCTACTCCTCCCTTTTTATCAACGCAATTAAAAAAAGAAAGCAAAGCTCACTGGTTCAGCCTTGTTTTCTTTTATTTTCTCCTTTCCTACCAACCCAAAACGGTAGAGAGGTATTAATGATAACTGAAATAGTCCACAGACCTAAGGCAGACGCAAAGATCCTGTATAATCCTCAGACTGCTTTATCTGGTATTAAAACAGAAAGTTTTTATGCACATGCCATATTTAAATTTACATAAGAAAAATCCAAATACCTGAAATTGTACAGCTGTTTTTGACAACTTCATCAGAAGATCAAATGCTAAAATTTTCACTTCTTCAAAAGTGCTGGTAAAACATTCCATTAGTGTTTGGAAACGACCAACATCAATATCATGACTCAGCTGATACACTGTATAAACACTACCTAAAAAAATAAATAAAAGATTTAAATTTAAAAAGGAAGAGGATATCAGATATCAACCTTCTAAAGTTATTTGACAAAATTTACAGAAAAGTAGTTCCCAAAAAATCACACTTCATACTTTAACCACAACAGTATAAAAGAATAACTTTTCCATTAATTTATTTCTTAAAATGATAAGTATTACACTCCAAATAAAAATTTTTTTTTAATTTTAAAAACCCTCCTATTCTCTTTCAAAATATATTACATAAAAGATTCCTAAGTTATTTTTTAAAATAAACAAATCTCAACACAATATTCCTAGGGAAAAAAAAGAAAAATAAATAAACAAAAATAAATTTAGGGACACATCTTTTTAAAAATCTTCATAAAATTTCTTGACGTAGAATCCAAAGTTCTACCATATCTTAGAATGACTGGCACAGAATTATCGGTATGATGACATATCCTAATAGATTGACTGGGTGTCAAAGATAAAGAAGGATTCTTTTGGTTATTCAGAGAAAAAGCTCAAGTCATCTACAAAAAGAAAAGAATTTGACTGGCTTCACTCTTCCCCATAGCAATATGTAGTGCTAGAAGATAATGGAGCAATGCTTACAAAATCTTCAGGGAAAGAAGGTGTGAAGAAGTTTGTATAACAAACTTCTATTCAAGTGTAAGAGCAATAAAAACGTTTTTGAATATGCAAGAAATTAAGAGCTACTTATATCTCTAAAAACTCTCCTCAGAGAAAGGAATTTCTGTCAACCAGGAAATGAACAGAAAATTATCACAAAAGAAGGATGGCAGGAGGGCATGGTGGCTCACACCTATAGTCCTAGCACTTTGGAAGGCTGAGGCAGGAGGATCTATTGAGGCCAGGAGTTTGAGACCAGCCTGGGCAACACAGCGAGACACTGACTGTACAAAAAATAGAAAAATTAGCTGGGCGTGGTGGCACGTGCCTAAAATTCCAGCAACTTGGGAGGCTGAGGCAGGAGGATTGCTTGAGTCTAGGAGTTTGAGGTTGCAGTTATTTATGATGACACCATTGCACTCTAGCCTAGCAAACAGGGCAAGACCCTATTTCAATTAAAAAAAAAAAGAATGATGCCACTTAACTCTTGGATTAAAACTAAACTGTGGGGATACTGGTTTCACAGCAGAATGTGAAAAACATTTAATATTTAACAAATGAACTCCTGAGAAGAACTGAAAATATTCCTATGCTTACTCAGTTTGAAGAATGATGTTCAATATAAATCAGGATATGAGTTTCTCATTTAATCTTAACTTACTAGTGAGCACAACCCTGTGAAATTCCTAAAGCAAGCAAGCAACTGGAGTTTTTGTCACATCCTTCACACCTCTGCTCAAATCTGCTTCTTTTCTAATTTTAATGTTTTTTATTTTTTTCTTGCATAATTGCTGTGGCTCTAACGTTCAGTAAAATGGTGAACAGCAGTGGTGACAATGGACATCCAGGTCTTTTTCCTGATCTTAGAGGAAAAAGCTTTCAGTCTTTCACCATTGAGTATGGTGTTAGCTGTGGGTTTGTCAAAATGTCCTTCATCATATTTAGGAAGTTCCTTTTTATTCCTAGTTTGCTGTTTTTTTTTTTTTTAAATCACAAAAGGATGTTGAATTTTGTCAAATGCTTTTCCCACAACAATTGAGATGATCAGGAAGTTTTTTTCCTTTCATTTTAATGTGGTATATTATGCTATTATTCTTATGTTGACCCACCCTTGCATTCCTGGGATAAATTCCACTTAGTCATGGTGTATAGTATTTTAATATGCTGCTGGATTTGGTTTGCTAGTATATTGTTGAGGATTTTTGCTTTTATATTCATAAGGGAAACTGGTCTGTAGTTTTTTTTTTTAGTGTCTTTGTCTGACTTTGGTATCAGGATAATGATGACCTTATAGAATGAGTTAGGAGGTGTTCCCTCCTCTCCAATTTTTGAAAAGAGTTTGAAAAAGATTGGTGTTAATTCTTTTTTAAAATTTTGGTAGAATTCACGAGTGAAGACATTTGCCATAAACTTTTCTTTGCCAGGAGGCTTTTGATTACTGATTCAATCTTTTTACCTGTTGTAGAATCTGTTCAGATTTTCTATTTCTTCTTGAGTCAGTAATTTTCACGTTTCTAACAACTTGACCATTTCATGTAGTTATCTAATTTGTTGGTATACAATTATTCAATATATTGTCTTATAATCATTTTTATTTCTGCAAGGTTAATAGAAATGTCCCTACTTTCATTTCTGATTTTAGTTATTTATATCTTCTTTCTTTTTTCTTAATCAGTCTAGCAAACTTTGTCAATTTTGTTGATCTTTTTAAAAAACCAACTTCTGGTTTCGTTGATTCTCTGTATTGTTTTTCTATTCTCTATTTCACTTATCTCTGTTCTAATCTTTATTATCTCCTTCCTTTTGCTAGCTTTGGGTTAAGTTTGCTCTTCTTTTCTAATTGCTTGTAGAGTTAGGTTATTGATTTGAGATCTTTTAATGTAAGCATTTACAGCTATAAATTCCCCTACGACAACTGCTTTCACTGTATTGCATAAGTTTTGGTATGTTGTATTTTTGCTTTCATTCACCTCAAAGTATTTTCTAACTTCTTTGTGATTTCTTCTTTGACCCATTGGTTGTTTAAGAGCTCTGTTAAAATCGGAAGCCTTTTCAGACACCACTGTATAAAACAGCTAACACTCCCCATCCTCCCAGGCCCTCTATATCTCCCCCTTATCTTCTTGAAATATTTTTTCATAGAACTCATCTACAACTGAAATTCTGTGTATTACTTGTTAATTATTATGTTTCCCTTCAGTAAAATGTAAGCTCCAAAAGAGGGGATACTTTGGGACACTGCATAACCTTGGCTGCTTGACATATAATAAGCACTAAATTAACTGTTGTTGAACAAACTCTTTTAATCTAATTGTAAAATCTAATTTTTCACCATGAATATTGTGACATTTGATTCCACTATGGAAAGATACACATGACATACTCTTCCGGGTCTAGGATATACTTGAGGAAAGGCAGAAACCATTTGATTAAACCCAAATCACAGACTTTCTATAACATATAAAATTCCCATGTTAAAGTTCTTGAGATGAAGATGAAGAATGAATTTACATTCCCCATCAGGTATTGCCTGGTTATAGCTCTTTAGCCTCCTTTAAAAGTAAAGGAGTGTAGTAGGGCTTGCTCCATTTGCATTACTTCTCAGGTATTTAATTAACATAATTACTATGACATCAGTCACTGCCCAATTATATGTGACTCATTCATTAGGAAAATGACTCAGGTTTTTCATTTTTAAAGCACACTATTTAATATCAAATTGTTCTCTTGAC